CAGCCAAGTCCTGGGCTGAGCTCCTAGAGTTTAGTTAAAGAGAGGGAGGAGGGATCGTATAAGCAAGGGACATCAAAATCATGATGGGGGAAACACAGAGACAGCTGATCCAAGCCAGTGGAAGCTCATGGACTCTGAACTGACAGCTGAGGAAACTGCATGAAAATAAACCAGGTCCTCTGAATATTGGTGACAGTTATTTAGCTTAATCTGTTTGGGGGGACCCTGGGAGTGAAACCAGGAATTATCCCCAGTGCATGAACTGTTTTTTGGAAACCATTCCCTATGGTAAGATACCTTGCTCAGCCTTGATGCTGTGGGGAGGAGCTTGACCTTGCCTCAACTTGGTATGCCAGACTTGGTTGACTCCCCAAGGGAGGCTTTACCCCCTCTGAGGAGGAGATAGGGGTGCAATGAATGGGGACCAGGAGAAGGGGAGGGAGGGGGAAATGGGGTTGGTATGTAAAATAAAAAAATAAATAAATAAAAACACAGATCAAGTGATTATTAACATAAACAATGCAATGTTTCTGCAGTTAATATATGGTTAAATGAGGTGGGTGGGGAAATGGGTACTGCACTACCAACTACAGATCACAATTTAATTCTCAGAGGGAAAATCAGAGACAAGTTGTGAATATTGGGTTTTGTGAGCTGAGAATTGCATATCCCATTCTAATTTCATAGCAGATTGCAAACTGAAAGAAAGCAGGGACAATGTCACTGCTGTTAAGTTTGACCTAAGCCTGTAGCCAATTGTCTGCTATTCACAGGCAATCAATAAACACTTATTGAGTGAATGACAAAATTATTAATGAAAAAGCAATGGAAGATAGGGGTCAGAGAGATGCTCAACAACGAATAAAGAGCTTGCTGCACAAGTATAAAGAACCAAGCTCAATCTCCAGCATCCATGAAAAAGCCTGGGTACTCTTAACAAGCCCAGACACAGAGAGGCAAAGACTGTGGCTTGCTGGCAAATCGGTTTTACCAAAAGAGTAACCTCCAAATTCCCTGTTTCACAAAATAAGAGAGTGACAGAGGAAGACACCATGGTCAACTTCTGGCCTCCACAAGTGCACATATAGGCCAACTCTCCCATCCCCCACATACAGCACACACACCGACACAGGCACGTGCACGCACACGCGCACGCACACACATACACACACACACACACACACACACACGCAATGGATGAGGATGGCATTGCGTCAATTGGCATCACTTGAAGTTTACTAAATGCTTTTGTGTATTGTGACAGTCTTGTGTTGCTCACTATGTGTTACTGAAGCCCATTTTTGGATACGAAGTGGGACTGCAAAGCCAGCTTTTCTTGTATAAGGAATACAAACAACGAACTGAGCAGAGATTGGTATATTATCTTCTTATCCCAAGGTCTACTGCTGGTGTGTGGCACACCAAAGCCCTCATTCCTATCACCAGAGCAACTGGCCACAGGGGTGGTGGCTTCCCCATCAAGTCAGGCTCCATACCCTGCAGTGTGCATTTGGCAAAGACAGCATCACATATCCTGGATTACTGGGCTTTCTTGCTGCACTATAAACTCTTTTTAACGCAGTCAACTGAGAACTCGTTTTATTTGCCATCAAACATGTAAGTTTGTGTGGTAGACCTACAACTAACTTATTTCTGAAGCGCTCGAGACAGTGTTTAAAGGTCGAGTTCGGAATTAGCAATGTGGTATGACTCCCACATTAAACAAATCCAGTGTAAACAAAGAACAGGCAGGGTGAAAAATACTTCTAAGACAATAGCTTAAAATTTCAGAACTGGAAATTATCTTTAAATGGTTGCATTGGAATCAATTTAAGAATAACATTATAAGAACAGTACAATTAAAGGGGTCTCTTATCGTTTCATTACATATATAATTATATGCAAAACTAATCATAAATACTTATTAAAAGTACTAAAAGGCACTGTTAGAGATATGAATGTTTTAAAAGACAAAAAGCTCTCTTTTCTATTTTTAAATTACTAATCTGGCCGACCAGTGGTGGTGCACACCTTTAATCCCAGCACTAAGGAGGCAGAGGCAGAAGAAGTTCTGTGAGTTCGAAGCCAGCCTGGTCTATAAGAGCTAGTTCCAGGACAGGCTCCAGCTGTACTTATTTCACAGTTTCCCAATCTATAAATAAGAATATATTTTTTAAGGTGATAAAAACTACGAATATGGTTTTATTCTTAAATGTTATGCTTTATAAATTTTGTACTTTATAAAATTTAAATGTAACAAGCAGTGCAATATAAAGTCTGTATTTTAATATCTGAGGAATTCTTTTAATATAATATTTTGCTTCTTCAAAACAGAATAATTTGCGCTGCTTTTAGTCATTTTTCCCTAACATGCAGTTCTGGGAGTATATGAGGTGAAGTCACTGTACAGTAATACATTTAATGAAGCACAAAAGGCACATCTGAGTTGGTTTCCTTTTCTGGAAAAGCTGATTATTTTCCATGAGAATAAAAAAGATTTTATATTAAAATTTGCTGCCTTAGCTAACTAATGATAAATTAACCACTCAGGTAAAAGAAGTAACTAGAAATAACTAGGTGCTTCTTTTCTTGCATCTACATAGAAAATATCATCTGACTAAACACTGTAAGTAAATTTGTTAAGGGCTCACAGATTCAGGGTTTACATGCATTATTCTTTTAAATGCACATTAAGTAAATTAACCAGCTCACATGACATTGCCACACAAGAAAATGTCATACTTTGACCATGACCACCTTCCTCTCTGCCTTCTTTCATCTTTTTCTCTCCGTCTTTTCTTGTTCAGACTCCTCCGCCTCTTTTCTACTTTATTTTTGTCTTTTATTGTTGTTTGTTTTGTTTTATTTTGGCTTTCATAATAACCTGGACTGTCCTGGGATTGACCTTGAACTCACAGTGCTATATTTGCCTACCTTCCTGCTTCCTACTTATAATAGTCTCTCTTCTATGATCAGGTCATTTTGCTAAGCCTCTACATATGAAAGAAGACAAGCCATTATTGTCTATCTGTGCCTGGCATGTGTTATCTTACCACGGTGTCATCCAACTCCATCCAGTTTCCTGTAAATGATGCAATTTCACTCTTATTTATGGCTAAATGACATATCCTATTTCACTCTCTGTTTCTAGATGAGTAATTTGAGATATCAAGCAGCACTCTTCAAACAGAAAAAAAGAGAGTATGGATTTGGTGATGCATGTATATAATTACAGTACTCCGGAGGCAGAGGCAGGATGATTCTAAGCCTAAATTACAGCAAAAACTATGTGAGAAACCCTATCACAATAGAAAGAAAGAAAGAAAGAAAGAAAGAAAGAAAGAAAGAAAGAAAGATAGATAGATAGATAGATAGATGATAGAAACATACATACATACATACATACATACATACATGCATACATACATGGAAGGATAAATAAAATGCAATATAAAATTCAGAAAGAGTTTAGTGGTCAACCTAGGCGGTGAAGGATAGTGTTACAGACATTAAAACATTGCTAGGGTCAAGGGTTTAAAATATTTATAGGTATTCTCCACCAAAGTTTCTGGCTTTGATTTTCTATAATACAGCCAAAGTTTCCAGTGGTGTCAGGAAATAGAAAAGCAAATAAAGAACCAACCATTTCCAGATGAGTCCACTGGCCTACTAAGCATTCTCAGTATATATTCTCAGGTATACAAAGCCCATTCATCTTAACAGTGAGGAGAGATGCTGATGCAATTGAGAAAGGTATTAACTCATTGCCATTCCAGTTCATAGACAATGCACCTCTTCAAAGAACCCTAAAAAGTCACCAATTACCTACCAGCAACGTGATTTGCCTAAATACTATACATCCAACTCTATCAAGAAAAATCTGATTTTTGGGTTCAGCATGTGCTAACGTGGAGCAACACCTGGATTCTGCCCCCTCTCTGAAACTGTAGCTGGGTCACAGGAAGGCTTCCAAGGAATTGTTATCTTTTATTTGTTGTTGTTTTGTTTTTGGTTTTGTTTTTCAAGACAGGGTTTCTCTGAAGCTTTGGAGCCTGTCCTGGCACTAGCTCTTGTAGACCAGGCTGGCCTTGAACTCACAGAGATCCTCCTGCCTCTGCCTCCCAAGTGCTGGGATTAAAGGCGCGCACCACCACTGCCCGGCGAGGAATTGTTATCTTTAGACAGAAGAATCAAGAGTTAGTGTTTCCCATGATACCCCAGATCATGTTACTATCACAACGAAACATGTATGTAGCATCTGTAAGTGAAGTGTTATCTCCCTCTAAGCTTTTCCATTGGTGTCCTTCCAGGCTACCCATTCAAATAGCCTGGTTGTACATTTCTGATCATTGTGGATTTGACTTTGTGTGATGACAAAACATTCAGCTCTGCGCAACAACTAACACTCCACTCTGCGCCTCTTTGACCCTGGGTCATTGAACCTATTTCCTTCCTTATGTTCTTAAAAGGAGGCTTTCATGGGACTTTGAATTTTCCTATCACAAAACTTCTTACGGTTTTTGTCACAAATGATTTGAAATGCCACATAAAATGATGTACTCACATCCCTCACTACCCCTTCCAAATAACTGGATTACATAAATAAAACATTACACGAAAAGAGCTTGGCTACAATTTATGGGAAGTAGCTTCAACAAGAGCTGGCTCATTGTGGAAAACTGAACCTATCTTTTTCCTTATCCTTTTATTCTATACAGGGAGTGAAATTTATGTCAGTTTTAAAAAAATCTATTACTGTTTCTCATAACTGAATCCATTATTTTTCTCCATGATCCATCAGGGTAAAGACAGGAATAATAGATTGCTTTGACAGAACCTTGAACATAAATGTCCCCAAGAATCCAACACGGCGAGTTTAACAAGTTTCACATGTATTAAAACAGGAAAGGATAGCCACTTTGTTTCAAAACAGGATCTTACTACAAATTTATTATTATTATTATTAGCTACCACAAAAAAAGTACATAGCATTTAATTATGTCAGAAAAAATAGAAAATAGTCCTTTTATTATTATTATTTTAACCAACTAGTTGTTGAAAATCTTCTCTTTGCTTAGATTAGACTAGATAACTGGAAGTGAATAATTGAAGTTATTTCATTCCATCCTCTGTCATCTGATTAAAATGTTAACTCTTACTTCTCTTAGTGCTTATACAGTTTTTAGCTCCACGTGATGCAGATGAAAGTCTTCAGAAATGCTTGAGATGTACATAGATTAATTCCAACAGTTAATGCCTCTTAAATGGTTTTGTTAATGGACATCTATCCATCCACTAATCTCTAACTTTATTTGAATAAACAGCTTGTCTTGAAGAAGATCATATCCCAGCTTCAATGCAGAACTTCTTCTAAGCCATTCAACACTCAGCACTCACAGTAACTGTACTGTTTGTTGTTCAGACTTGAACATAGGACTTATACTTGCCATCAGCTTCCTCCCCTCAAAAGATGAGAATGTGTTTATGATAATATTTTTATGGATAATGCCTAAAAGTGAAGCCACGTTTCTCTTGTTAGCTAAAGTAGAACAAGGAGCCTAAGTGACTACCAATGGGAATCTGTGACCACAGGAACACAGACCACAGACAATGCTTGTGGTAGACTGGAAAGTTTGATAGGGTTTGAGTCTTATGTGGCGTGATGGCTAGCTACACTTGGCGACTGGACACAACCCAGATCACCTGGTAAGAGAAGTTCAATGATATACTGTCTATATTGGACTGGCCTGTGGACATGTCTGTAGAGAATTGCCTTTGTTAAGTTAATTGATCTGGAAAGATCCACCCTATTATATGACACACTATTCCCTAGGCAAAGGGTCCCAAACATTTTAAGAATATAGAATTTGAGCTGAGCACAAGCAAGCAAATGAGCAAGCCACATATGCATGTACTTATTTCTCTCTCCTCTGAGCTGTGGATATGATGTAACCAACTGCTTCAAACTCTTGTCATTGTGACTCAAAAACACTTCCTTCTCTAAGTTGCTTTTTGTGAGTGTGACTTTTACCATGGCAACATCAAACTGCTTATGGTTAGTCCCTGATGATTTGCCCCCTAGTTTCTCGTTAAAAAAAAAAAAAAGAAAAAAATGATTTTTCTTTTTTTAATTGTCAGCAGATTTTTGTGACTATCAAGATATTCTCTTCTTTCTTAAAGAAGGATAAAAGGTAAACTTGATATACCCTGTTTCCTTTTGGGAAATTCATTCAGTGCTGTGCATTAGAAGGTCTGGAAATAAATAAATCTGACGTTGACATCACTTTAGGCAGAATATCTGATACACTAAGAAAACAGAGACGTTCTTACCAAGGTTAGAAAAAAATTAAGAAACTAAAATACTTCCTGTTCTCTACAGACAAAAGGTATAAACAATTCAGACATTATCCCAAGACTCAAGAGCTGAAGCAGGACATAACCTGCTGTGTAGCCAATTTAAAACTAGCCTGTGCACCAAAGGAACTTGTTATTCTTACTGAAAACGTGGCAACAATCATCCAGCTCTCCTCTGGCTTTCCTAAGCCACATATCTATTTCTCATACCAGGTGGTCAGCATGGTGGCTCCCTTATATCCCCAAACATAAGCATTCATCAGCTCTGCAACCTGATCCTGACACCAAACAACTAAAGCCAATGCAGACAGTTCTCTGATGACACATACTGAGGTATAGAAAAAAAACGCCATCATTTCCTTCTACAAAATGAAAAAGATTTTAATTCTTTTTCTCAACAGCTGCTTCATTTTCTTATGCATAGGAAAAATATGTGCAATTACTTCAAGTACAATCAAGTCATTTAACATGGCTTTGCCATCATTGTAGTTATAGGATATTTTAAAAGAAAAGGGGGGAAAAATCTCAAAGCACAGGTCCTGCTGTGCGGCAGAGCAATCAAATTCCTTCATAATAGCAGCCTGATGGGATTCAGCAATTTAAGGAATAATGAATAACTCGTCTAATCAGTAAACAGGAAAATGCTACAACCGTTACTGAGTAAAAACTATCATCTGTTGATTCTCTTGATCGGCATTTCCAACAATAAATAGAAAAGTGAGTAGTTCTTTAAAGGAAAAATAACTTCATTTCATGCGTTTAGTTGTACGAGGCAGTGAGAAAATGACATATCATATTAGACTGTCCTGCAGTGTGCCCTAGTCAATAAAATACAGAGATAATCTTTTTAAATGTATAATACACAGCTGAGCTCACCCTATCACCTGAATAGGTCAAAATGAACTGATTTCACAGTTGGTTTATAAGATTGTATTTCTGGAGAGATGATTCTAATTTTTTTCACATCTTCATTATATTTATTCTTTTTCTTCAGTGTTCATTCTATGAAGTTATAAATCATAGTTACGAAATTATATTTGTATCTGAATATGAAGAATCAATTTCAATGTAGTCTTCAAGTTGCCTATACAAGGTCTCAAATTTTGGCCGCTGCTTAGGATCTGCATCCCAGCACTTCCGCATGATGCTGTAGAAGTTCTGTGGACAGTTAAGTGGTTTCGGCAGTCTGTAGTTTTGATTCAACATCTGAATTACTTGAGCACCTGTCATACCTAAGAAACATATAAAAGAACAAAAAAAATGGGCAATCAGAAACTTCAATTTATAGACACTAAACTCTGGGATACAACACAAATTCTTTCCCTTAATAGAGCCATGAGATCTACCATCCACTTCCCAAGATGTAGACATTAAACTAAAACCCGCAGAAAGTAATGTCTATAAGGCTGCAATTCAAGAGCAAAGGAGAAGAAAGCAATAAACCACCTCGTTAATGCAAATTATCGCCATCAAATTTTATCTCTCGAGCTCCTACAGGCACATGGTATGGTCAGCCTCATAACTCTGCCCTCTAAGTCTGGGCAAAGCAGTTAAAGTCACATCTACGCAAGTGACCTGCAGCGGAAAAGCCCAATTCTGAATTAATCACTTACCACTGTAAGGCGTTTTGCCGTAAGTAATGATTTCATAGAGAAGGATTCCAAAAGACCACACATCAGACTTAATGCTGAATTTATTAGTACGAATGGCTTCAGGTGCAGTCCACTTCACTGGCAGCTTTATTTCGTGTTTAGATTCATAGATGTCTTCATTATCTACCTGTTAATGCATCAAGGAATCAAGCCAAGTTAATGATTTGTTGTGCTGCCCTCATTTATTTATAACCTGTTTCACATGAAAATTTACAGGGAAATATTCAATTTGAGCTTAGGTAAATTTCTATTACAATATAAAATATTATGAACTGGATATATAAAATTAGAAGAGTCAGTGAGACATCATTAGCAAGATGTTTCTTGAGAACTTACAGTGTGCACATAATAGCCATGGGGGAACATCAATCAATTGCATGCAGGAGAATTGTGGTGATTTGGATTTACATCAATCCTTTACAAATTTAAAAGGAGGAGAAGGAGGGGAAAGAAGAAAAAAGAAAAAAGAAGAATGAGGAGAAGAAGAAAAAGATGAAAGAATGCCTAGTTTCTTTTGCTGCTAGTACTGAAGAGCTCCTAAGGCTAGAGAGATGGCTCAGCAGTTAAAAGCATTGTTGCTCTTGAAGAGAACCCAGGTTTGGTTCCCAGCACCTATATGGTAGCTCACAAATGTTTTTAACTCCAGCTCTAGAGGATATGGGGCATTCTGGCTTCTGTGGGTACTGCACCCATGCATATGAGGCACAGACATACACACAGGCAAAAATATGCATATACATTAAATCATTTAAACCAATTGCTAATACCAAAAAGCAGTATTTAAATAATTTAAATTAGTTTAACAACATAGTGTGTTTCTAATTAATTTCTTAAAAAAATGATATGAAAAGAAAATCTTTACCTGTTGTGTTTCATTTCTACGTTCATATTTTTCGTGGATGATTTGGAAATCTAAAGTCCAGATGTAAATGCTTCCTATGGTGGCATTTTATTGTTGTCTTTGGATTAATATTACACAACGGGATGAGTATGGGGAAATGAAACCCCAGCAGTTCAGTTTTGGAAAGATGGATCAGTGGGCAAACTAGTTTCTGGACAAGCATGATCCCCAACACCCTCATAAAAACCAGGTGATGTGGTGCTGGCCTGTAACGCCTGTACTGAAGATGAGGAAGCAGGTGGGTCCTGGGGACTGGGTAGCCAGTCAGTCTAGCCAAAATGATAGCTACAGGTTCCATGAGAGACCCTACAGCAAAACATAAGGTAAAGACCAGTTGATCTCAATAGGTTTGGAGAGAAAGGAGAGAGAGCGAGACACGGGGGGGAGGGGAGAGAAGGAGGAGGAAGAAAAAGAGGAGGAGGGGGAGGAGGAGGGAGGAAGGGAAAGAGGGAGACAGAGACAGACAGAAAGAACTTGGAGCATGAAGTGGAGTGGTAGAGTAGGTAGAAGATGGAAGATCTGGGACTGTTTGGGGGAGGAGATCAATATGAACACACAGTTTCTGATTGCTGCAGAATCATGGCAGCATGGCTTCGATGTATTGTCAAATGAGAAAAGGTAGATACAGTCTACTGCTTTCTGTGAGAGATGTGTGAGAATATGTAGGTGCTGCTGGTAGTATATAAAAAATAGACCATAAATTCAACCACAAACTTAATTACCTATTTATTAATCTACCTGATCATTGTTTTTCCTTCATTGCCCCACCTTTTTGAAGAAATAGAAACAGAAAAAATATACTGTCTGTAAGGTCCTGGAGTGCTTGCCTTTATCAATGGACTGTAGATGAACAACATGGCTATGTTTATTTGTTTTGTATATGTGGCTTTGTTACTCTTGGTACAGTTATTGCTTTGAAATAGGAGTCTCACTGAAATTCAAAGTCTAACCTTGAACCTAAACTCCTCTTGCCTCCCCCTCTTGAGTGTTGGGATTCCAAGTGTTTGATACCACACTGAGCTAAGAAATATAGTATTAAATAATAATCATGAACTTAATGGTCTATTAACCTGTTTGGTATTTAACATACTCTAAGAATTAATGGAAAAAAAAGTAAATCTACCTTAAAAACTCTTGCAAGTCCAAAATCTGCTACTTTGTAGATATTATGTTCACCAACAAGAACATTTCTTGCAGCCAGATCCCTGTGGATGTAGTTTTGGGACTCCAGATAGGCCATTCCAGAGGCCACCTGTGCCGCCATGTCTACCTGTTGAGCCAGATGGATTTTTGCCCCACCGTCATCTAAACAAAAGGAAAATGAGAGATTATCTTGTAAAACACTGAACTACCAAAGTGAATTCTGAGAATTCTGACACATCAATCATATGTGATACGACACCAATCTACCAGGAAAACACCATCCCAACACAGGTGCCGGTTTGTGTGTTTTCAGAATCACACATCGCTAACTTGCCTCTTCATGGAAACTGTCATTTGGGGACTTCTGTCTTTTTAAAAGTCTTTACAGGATAGAGAAATGGCTCACTGGATGAGAGCCTGAATTTTAGATCCTCAGTACTTAAATTAAAAGTTCTGGTTATAGTTGCAAATGTTGCAGATGCCTATAATCTCAATGCTGGCGGGGGCAGGGAGGACAGAAAGACCCCAGATGTTGTTGGCTCACAATGAGTAAGCTCCAGACTCAGTGACTCTGTCTCAAATAATAAAGTGGAGAGTTATTGAGGAAAGCACTCAATATTGACCTCTGACCTACACACACAATAGATAGATAGATAGATAGATAGATAGATAGATAGATAGATAGATAGATAGATAGAAAGAAGGATGGATGGATGGATAGATAATAGATAGATAGATAGATAGATAGATAGATAGATAGATAGATAGATGATNGATAGAAAGAAGGATGGATGGATGGATAGATAATAGATAGATAGATAGATAGATAGATAGATAGATAGATAGATAGATGATAAATAGATAGATAGATAGATAGATAGATAGATAGATAGATGCATATACACTGAATTTTATAAACAGGAAAACACACTGCATAGTTTACTTTATTCATCATACTCATGAAATAGCAACAATCTGACTAAACCAAAGAAAAGTTTTCATTCTTTCACCATATTTTTTTTAAAATTAGATCACTGGTAAAATTTAAGGATTTATCACTTCTAAAATGTACACATCGCATTTACACCTACATGCATAATGCATTTTTAATTTCCTTTCATAGCTTGCTATTCTCAGATATGTTATACAGCTCTCCAGATACAGACATACCTTAAATGGACAGAAAGCCACCTACTGCTCAATTTACATAACTAAGTACAGAAATTTACATAGTGGAATAGGCTTGCTCATTAGTAAAAGTGTCCAGTGCTAGCTTTGGAAACTGAAATTTTCTAAGTCATCCTCAGGCTAAGCTACCACACTGTTGGCAAGTACCTGCAGACATCTAGAAAACTGGGGTTATTTCACAAAAAGGCATACTCCTGTTCTCCTTGCCTCCCTAAGTCATATAGTTGGCTGGATTTGTGATCATTAGGTTTAAGCATAAGCCCCAACTTCAGAGAGAGTTATAGCACAGGAGGTAGGGAGACCGATATAACACCAGGGTAGCAGATGTGATGTCAGGGTTACTCTTCGTATTGCGTTGTAACATTAAGCAATATGATTAACATCCCTGTACTTTGGTGTCTCCAACGTATCTACTGTTAAAATAGAATTTCAAAGGAATTAATATGTGTAAAGCACTTTGCACACTGTCAGGTACTTAAGAAGAGCCCAAGAGATCCTAGATGTTAATATTATCATAGCACCTGTGCGAAAGTGAAGCAATTTTAATTGCCCAGTGATATATGTGAATTACCCTTGTGAAGTTGGCTGAAAGAAGATAAGCCTGTGGGCCAGTTAAACTTATAAATGTAATGGTTGTGTTAATGAGTCTGTTAGGTTCCTAGGAAGAAACACTTTTCATGAGAACATCAACATTGAGAGTCAGCAGGGAAAATTAAACCTTCAAGAAAACTGGGAAGGATCAACCAAAAACAAGAAAGATAGGAGTGTTGTAACAAGTCAAAGGCCTTAAGAGAAAACTACCATCACAGTCAGATGGGATAAATTTAATCTTAGTTAGATTAGATAAATCTTCAGTTCTAACTCTTAAATCTCCCTCAACTTTGAAGCTACAGGAATAAATTTCATAATGTAAAGTCACGCAAAGAGAAAAGTCGAAGTCCTCATGTCACTTCTTAGAGAAAGACACCTAAAGAGCAATTTATCCATATGAAAAATAGTTAATTTTGTATGCAAAGTTACAAAAGCTTTAAATTGTATGTTATAGTCTCTAACATCAATTGCACAGTTGAAAACAGAATGTTATCATGAAGATTAAATAAAGCGCAGCATAGACAAAGCATCACGTTCTGATGGCCACAGCGCCTACCTTTTGATATCAATAAGGAACTAAAGGTATAGGGAATAGGAGATGCGGATGACTAGCCAACGGCTCCCACTGACCCTTGCTTCCTAGGCATCATCCCCTTCCCTTGGGCTGGGCTGGACCAAGTTACACATTTAACTGATGCAATATGGAAAAATTGAAGGCACAAAATTTCCAAGTAGTCACAAAGGGCTGTGGCTCTGTCGCAAGGATGCTCCCTTGCTTTCTCACTTGCCCACACTACTGTAACAAGCTGCCAGGTTATGAGCTGTCCTGTGTGATAAAGAGAACAGGACTGCCTCTCACCAAAACCCAGCAAGGAACTGATTTCCTCAACAGCTCAGGATAAGCCAGCTCCTACCAGCAAGATGAGCTGGTTTGGAAATAGATGCCACCCTGTTAGGAGTTTGAGATGATTTGGGCAAATGCTGACACCTTTGCCATGATTCCTAAGCTCTGAAACCCAGGGAGTTCCAACTGCATTCCTGACTGTCTTCGTTAGCATCGTTATTGCTGGGACAAAAAAATCATGATCAAAAGCAACTTGGAAGAGGAAAGGGTTTATTTCACCCACAGTTCCCTATAAGATTTCATCATCAAAAGCAGAGAGGGCAGGAACTCACACAGGGCAGGAACCTGGAGGCAGGAGCTGATGCAGAGATCATTGAGGGGTGCTGATTACTGGCTTTCTTCTCATGGCTTACTCAGTCTGCTTTCCTATAGAACTCAAGCCCACCAGCCCAGGGATGGCACCTCCTATGATGGGCAAGGCCCTCCCCTATCAAACGTGAATTAAGAAAATACCCTATAGGCTCCCTCCTCTCAGATGACTTTTGCTTGTGTCAGGTTGACATAAAATAAGCCAGCACACTGACCACAGCAAGTGGCATAATGAATGTTTGCAAGGTAACAACAGACAACTAATACAGGCTGGGGGAAAATACCACTGCTATCCATGACATTAAAGCAGAAGCCGTGACCTCAGACAGTCACTTTAAATGGGTTGCTAACCTTCTCGGGCCTCTTTCTTTAATTGTTAACTAAGAATATTTGCCTCATAAGATATTTTTAAAAATAAGCTAAGTTCATGCTTGTAATAATTTGGATAAACACCTGACACAGAAAGCCGTACATCTTTTTAAAAAAAAAAAAAAAAGAAATCATGTACATGTCCTCCCCTGTTATTACCTCAGACATCCGGTTTCCAGCAAATCACCTAATTGTGTGCACAGACCAAACACAAACTGCTGCTTCCTGTTGTGTCTACTTCACAGGGCTTTCGACTACTCTAGGAACAGGCTGTAGAGTAGACATTCTAATCCAGGCGTGTTTGAGGCTGAGCTGCTATGATCCCAGAAGCTGTTTTGTGCTGCCTGCCTAAACATGCCTTGCCTGTGCCTCTAAACACACAAGAGTAGAGGAGGATGGAGAAGCTCCAGGCTCCTGAGGAGCAACAGTTCTGCGCTCCTGCTTGACTGAGCGGGGCACTGATGGAAATAATACACCCGCAGCTTCGGTCCACTTCGGCAAACAGTGCGTGAAAACCACCAACCACACATGGGAACCCAACTTAGAAAAACAGAAAATGTTTGCTACTCCTTAAGGTGTACATAGATTTCTGATATTGCTAGGATTTTTTAAAAATATTTATTTATTTTATTTATTTATTATGTATACAACATTCCTTCCATGTATGTTTGTATGCCAGAAGAGGGCACCAGACCTCATACAGATGGTTGTGAGCCACCATGTGGTTGCTGGGAATTGAACTCAGGACCCTTGGAAGAGCAGGCAATGCCCTTAACCACTGAGCCATCTTTCCAGCCCCCTATTGCTAGGATTTTTGTAAATATTTATTGAGAAAAAAGGAAGTTCAACATACTAAATCGAATAATGATATTTCCTTCCCTCTAGTTTCAGAAAGATGTTATTAGTGAACTATGTATGTAAGTCCACATATTTCACTGTATTACCTGAATTGCCTGAAATATCCAGTTTTCTTAAGTGCTTTTTTTATTAAAGGGCCAATAAATCAGTCATTAAGTATTTATTCTGCCCCCAAATGTCACATTATTCACTTTATGACTGTGCATACGGTTGTGTTTCACATGACTCACAAAAGCTGTGGCCGAACATTGGAAAGAACACCCCAGCTCACACTGATCCTGTTTGTCACATAAACTGTCTAGTGTCAGTCTATAAGAAACCTGCGTAACTCAGAATGTCCTCAAAATATATCTTCAGTAGAAAGCAATATAAAGCTAATATCTGTCATAGCTTCTTTTATTTACAGCCTGTATAAATGCCCATGTTTGTTTAAGTTTCTGTTACTGGGTACAGTGAAAGCAAGAGGCCGCTTTTTTCCCTGAGTTCTTATCAGTAGAGCAATTCAGCTGCTCACACTTGAAATCAGAAATCCGCCTCCCCATCTTCCACTTCAGTGCCGTTAAGCGACACTGTCACACAAGAGAAATGCTGCCACTTTGTCATTGTGTGAATGTGTAGTCTTCATCCTCCCCTTCCTTTGATTAAACATGCAAGCTAAGAATGAGAATGTTCATGTGTTTAGAGCTTTTTTTAAACAAGCCAAGTAAAGAAAATGGAGTTCTGAAATACATTCTTCTACAACGGTGATTCCTCCCTCCTTTACGCTGATGGTTGTTTTCTCATACGAGGATGCAAGTCTGCCACTACTCTCTTGCATAAAAGCTTTTAATTTTGATTTCTTTCATTACTATATTTATTGAGATATCTGACTGACATGAAATTTGGTACTTTAAGATATTCTTTTTTTACAAAGTATATTTAATAAAAATGGTGTATATTTTAAAAATAACAACTATCCGTAAGATATATAGATATGTATATATAGATATAAATATTCTCAATGCTAAAGTATTTTAATAGGCTTCTCCCATTTTGAAGAAAGTCATTACCAAAAAAAAATCAGCTAAGATTAGAGACTACAATGATTGCTATATAGAAAAAAATGTGCATGTTTTTCCAAACATACTTTACACTGTGATCCTATTACAGAGGGCATGGGAAGTTTTCATCAACAATCCCAATACTGCAAGATTGGCTAATACACTTTTCTATTATGAAGGACTCACTAGCCTAAAAATCCCCTAAGGTCACAGTACTTCCATAACCACCATGCATCAAAACTAACGCAAAGTTCGCAACCTGCAGTAGTTTTCTTCTTCAGAGGAAATCTATTGCATACGATCACTGAAGAGTCTTTTGGCTCATCAAGAGGAGCAAAATCCATTCAAGCTTATTTTATTGAGGTTTTACCTCTTTATTGGTAGAGACTCAGATGTAATAAATACACATCTATTACTCCTCATATCCACAAAATACCTTTGAACATGAAGGCCTTAGTAAATTTGCCCCTGGTGGACTAATCCAGAAGACAAGATTCATAACCCTTAGTAAACCACATCAACAGGCACAAGAGACTCTTAAAGTCTGAATTTTCAGTGTACCAACTAGAGCTTTTCCAGTTGGTGCCTCAGCCTCAAAGCTAAATGATCAGCCTTATTAGCTTACAGGTGATCTCAACTCCAGTCTTCAGACAGTCACCATGTGTTAGCAAACATGCCCCTGTGCATCAGACATTGCTCCAACACTGAAATGGAGACAGTTTCCAGTCCTTGGGGGTTATGTGTAGGAGATGCTGTACATAAGCTACATAAACAAATCAGTAATGTGCTCAGATGATTAACAACTATGGAGTTAAAGCAGAGAAGAGCAACATGAAGAACCAAGAGAGAAATTAGGTTTCAGGACCTCACAGTTGGCCAGCCAACACCTCACTTAGATGGAGACGACTGTGCAGACTTCCAGGAACAGAAAAGCAAGCATGGCCTAGTCCCATCCCCTGGAGGAACAGGCAGAGTACTTACTGTGCACCTCCCTCAGGCAGCCCTGTGCAACCACACTGGAATCCAGACTTCAGTCCTGGCCACTTAAGGGTCACAGCCTAGCGAGCCTCCCCCAGTGAGTAACACTCCTGTCACAGTCCCAGCCCCTACCACCTGAGACTCGTATACCTCCCACAAGAAGCAAGAACCACTCCCACTATGACTTAGTCCCTGCCACCTAAGGACCAGCTACATAATGACACACGCCTTCTATAGACTCCCGAATGTCTGCAGCAAGCACCTGCTACTTCTCTGGAAGGTCTGTTGCTTGCTATGTTCAGAAGCTGCAGCCAGCCCTTGATGAGCTAGCACTACTTCTGATACCTCACTTGCCTGTCACCTGAGTGGCCCTGGGAATGAATCTCAGACACCATTCAACTGGCCCATAACCTGACAAGTTTGGGTAACAGCAAACAGGAATCTAAACAGTCACTCAACAAAGTAGAACAGATACACACACCAAAAAACACTACCAACAACCTCCAAGTGCCCAGGTCCTACCCCAAAATAGGATGTGAGAAATTAACACAATATGTCTTCTGAAAATCAGGTATATCCCAGTAGTGTTCCCCGGGAAAACAACTCAGATGATACACATGACAATGATTTAGAAATAACAATCATATGTATGTTCAAGGAGATCAAGGGGCTACGGATGAACACGGGCATTTAAACACTGAGAATAGGTGACAGTTATAGGAAAATAAACTACAGGAGGAAAACATCTTAGAGGAAATCTCATTTACTGCGAAGTCACAGAATGAGATGAATCAAAAAGAAAAGATAAGGGAGACAAATAAATTAAATATTTAAGTAGGCCTAAATACTGGGAATTCACAATTCCACCTAATGTGGCTGTTATAGGTGACATTTGCAAAGTACTTTCTTGGATATGCTCTGTTCTAGGAATAAGACAGCAGGTATAGAGGCTGAAGCTGATTCTTCTGTAGTGGGCCCACATTCTGAAGCTGCTAACTTTGGTGAGTGCATGCAAAGGGGCTGAGTATATTCTGTTTTTCAAAGCACTGTGTAAGACACCTCATGATCTCTGTTTTCTTCTTATTTCGCAATTTAGAATTCCCAGTTTCTCAAGTTCCTCTTTAAAGCAGAGAATGCTCCTATCTTCCTGAGTCCTTGGTTCCACCATTTTTACCTGCTCATAATCCTATCAGTTTTACTGTGATATTACAAAAAGTCAGAGGAAAGTCTCTGTTTTTAAGGCATAAATTATTCTTTCAGTACTTTTGAACAACTTGTTTCAACACTTACTATTTTATTTTTTATTGAATTATTTGTTTGTGATAAACATTGTGAAGCCCTTTACTATGACTGTAGAAATCAAATGGAACAAAACAACAGTACTATATTTCTTATTTTTAACCTGAAAATACTAATGGTGACTAGCCCTAGATGTAGTTTCAGACACACACACACACACACTCACACACACATACAAACTTAAGAACAAAAAGCCTAGGGTACCTTTCTATCTTTCTCCAAAGCAACCCATGTCCACAAACTCTTCTCTACAGAAAATGTTGGTCCTTGACTAATAATATTCAATTAGTTGGTTGAAGCAAATACACAAAATATCCATTCGCCAGTTTCCCCCACTATACGTAACACTCTGATATGTCTGTTGTGAATGATTTCATCCTTCACTCATAAATAGTTTTCTCTCTTTTGAGTACACAGAACATATTCCATTCCATTGTAGTTGAGCTGGTCAATGTTACAACATTCATCCTTATAGATAAACACATTGTAAACATCCTTTGGGTTATAGACGGCTTGCTAAATTGACATTTATGGGACACTAGCTAAACTAAATTCCTCCTTTTCTTCCCTTTATTAAATCTTCAGCTTACTTTGGAGATATTCCTGTAGACTTCCATTTCTCATCAACTCTGTAATAATATAAATTGGATCTTCTAAAGTGCAAACAGCGTAGAGCTGGATAAGCTTTGGGTGTCTCAGGCTCTTCATTATCTGCGCCTCCCTCAGGAAGTCATTTGGGTCCATTGAACCTGAAACAAGAAGAGGAAGAAATCACTTTATGCTATCGAGGCCATCCTATCCCCACAGCAGCCTGGTGGGTATCACTGAGGTTGCCTCCTGCCTCTCGGGAATATGAGGACATCAATGTCACAAATCTTCAGAGTTATCAGAGAATGGAATCAGTTCAGCCGGGGCAACCTAATTACTACATGTGCCGTTGTGTCAGGGGTTTGCAGTTTATGTGCTACGATGTGTAGGTGAAGAGCAAGTGGAGTCAGGTCCATATGAAAAATGAGAAGACAGAGAGATACTGACAGTGTAATTGATGGCATGAGGCGGGCATCTTCACATGAAGAACGAGTGCCTACTAACACAAACACAGGCAGATGTAGAATGCTTAATTACTCCAGGCAGGGCACTTGGTTTCGGATTCAGAAAGGACTGCACTGTTCTTGGTGTTCAGTGTCCTCTCTGGGGACAGGTGGAGAACACCTTAATACCATGACTTTGCCATGTCCCATTTTGGAGTATGTCATTGTGAAAACATAAGGTATAAGCCAAGTAAGAAATATGTGTGGAGATTTCTAAAAGTGAACAGTTGTATTTTATCAGCTTCTATCTTTAGTGTGAAACTGATACCCAAACTTTTCTCTTGCATGACCCAGTTCCTCCATCAGAGCCCTAAAGGTTTGAGGGCCTAGAGCCTCCTTTGAAAACACATTAACAGTTAAATTGATTTTGAATGACCCAACTCTAACTCATATACAATGTATTAAGGAGTTAATATTAAATAAAATGGAGAAGGAAAGATGCCTGGAGTTTGCATTTCAACAGTCATTTTTAAATCTCCGATTTTTAAGCTATAACATTCCAGAAGTATTACTACAACTGGTCACACCTTGATATCCACTCAGGACATCATTCCACTCATCATCCGCACCAGACAAAGATGTCATGATTGACATCTGAGGCCAGGCATAGATACATATTGTAATGTACGTACTGGAAGGGTTGCACTGTGACCTGTTTGTCAATATGATGTTATTTCACACTAAGCAGTGAAACAGTCTACCCTTCCAAAGTCTAGTCAGCATCCAGGCTCAAACTTGAACTCTGAAACAATGTCAGCTCTACTACTAACTCGCTTTGTAGTCTTAAGCAGGTTGGCTGATCTCCTCTCTAAACTTCAGGATAATAGCAGCGCCCAGCACAGTTGAACCCAATAGCTGCTGTTACTGCTCCTGCTGCTGCTGCTGCTGATGATGATGATGATAATGACGATGATGGTGGTGACGGCTTTACATACTCTTGGCAAAACCAAACATATCAACTGTATTTATTGTTAGCTGAGGAGAAGAGGAAAGGTCTTAAAGAGGAAGAGAAACGAATCTGTTCTCGGCTTATCACATATTTTATTTCTGAGCTCACTCAATGTCAACAATACCACTAATCAAAAAGATTAAAATGTGGAATCGTAAATGTGGAATCATAGTAGAAAATTAGCTCAGAATAAAGGAGACACATATGTCATAACAAATCACTTTGTTCTCAGTGGTTAAAAATAACCTATATCAAATATATAGATATAGTATGAACCTCTCTTCAAAAGAAATTAGGAAAAACATATCTGATTTGCGAAGGTTCAAGTGAGAACAGCAGTTATAATCACCATTTAGACAGTTTCTGCAGGACATCTAGACCATTCGCAAGTCAGACTATCTGCAGGAGCTGAAGTTGCTGCAATCTGGAAGCTGCTGCAGCCGAGGGTTGCTACGACCACTCCTTCATGGCCAGGCTTGCTATAGCTGACCAGAAATGGAGTCAGGGAGTCTCAATCTCAAGTCAGCTAGCAATGCAACATTAAATATTAATTTTTGCCTGTCAAAGCCATGTGGGAGTTGATTTCAGGCTCATCTTTATTGCGTGGTAGTCTGCTAAGCAATAAATAGCTGTTAAGATTGATTAATGGCCCCAGTAAAGTGAAGACATTTAACCAATCGCCAAAGCTGTTTGCTGCTATTACACTGTAAATCAATAATAATTATTCCTATTGGGGAGCAAACTATCGTGGCTGTTTTTGGCATAAGAAATATGACTTTTGTTGTTACTGCTCTCTTTTAACCTCAAGAAAGCCTTCTGAAGAGGGCAATGTTAGGAAGCATTACTTGCTGTTTACCTTTGGAAAAGAATAATTAGATTAAACGATAAAGTTTCAATCTCAGTTGCCAACAAGATTGGCATTGAGAAGTACATGTGCATGGTGGCTCTGAAAGTATAAATGTTAGAATAGGTATCCTCACTGACAGTCATTGGGTGGCATCTAGCCACGTACAAGTGTCTCTCGGATGTTTCACCTTGCAGAAGTAAACACTGGAAATGAATTCTTTGTGTTTAAGCCTGAGCTTTGAGAGCAGCATCTGTCAGCAGCTAGAAGACAGCACTTGGTTAAGAATTTCTGCATAACCATTGACTTAATATGTCCTCCTTAAACTCGACCCAGAGGACCTGTTATGATTCCCAAATCCCAATGAGGAACTGTAGAAAGTTTAGTGAACTGTGCAGTGGCATAGAAGGACAGAGGGACATAGCCAAGTTTGAACTCGGATTTACTTAACCCCAAAGTTCTTGCTATTATCTGTTATACAATCATACCCCAACACTGTCAGTTCACATCACTCTTAGTATCTCAGTTGGTTTTCTTCACAATGCCTCATGCCACAACCAATATTTAACACTTAATTTGATTGTCAAGTTAGATCCAAATAACTGCAAGTTATTTTCTAAGGAAGCTGATAGCTATCTGAGATGGTGATGCAGGGGAATTAAAAGGAAAAGGGCGATCTATATTTCATTCTTAACTACAATTACTTTCTAAAGCGGCACAATCAACATAGAATACAACATAACTTCTTAAATCTTACAATAAGATTGGGTGATGTTACCCTTGTGCCCAAGTCCATGTTGATTTTCGTGTGTAGATTTTGCATTTGAAGATGGCAGTCATCAAAACCCAGCATACAGAAATAAAACTGGAACTAAGTTTCCTCCACTTGTTAGTTTTCAGAGTGTTGGGGATGGGAGAGGGTGCAGCAGCAGCGCAGGCTGCTAAGAGAAAGAAGCCATCATTGGTCTTTCTCAGCCATAGACTCAGTGTGCTACAATGCTGAGCTGCCAGGTAAGATGTGCCCACTACTGCAATAGTGGCCAGACTACTATGGGGATAATAAGATACTCTTTAAAATTAGATTTGAGGCTGTTTCCATGGGAGAAAATCCATGGCTGTACTGGGTACAGTCATAGACCCTAGAGAGGAACCTACTGCTCTTGTTTACTAAATGAACATGCGGTCAGATTGCCTTCCAAATATTTATGTTTGTGCCCCTAGATTAGTGCTGCTCTCAGATACAGGGAAGCTTCTTTTTGTAGTGGGTTGTAGTTAAAGCAGAGACTCATAAAATGTCAAAGGACTGAGGATTAGTGACTGTTGAGAGGTCACACCTAAACAGGACATCCATATCACCCTCCACACCAGGGTTCAAGGAGATTCTAGAAGAGGAAAGAAAGAGTGGATGAAGGCAGGAAGCCTGTGAACCACTCCACTACCTTATAAACATGGCGTGGCTGTTGCCTCACCCATGAACTCACAGTGACTATGGATACCTGTTTAAGACCTGCTCATGATTGGGCCTCTCAATATCCTATTATGTATGGAAAAGCTCACAAAGCTCCACCTCTTCCTGGGGAGCTATTACTGTCTTCTGGAGGAGAAAGAATAATTTTCTTTAGTGGTGTAACCACTGGTACATTTCCCGTGTTCCAGGAAATATCACCCATACTTTTGCTAACAATCCTGATTAAATGAGGCTGACCATCACACACAGACACAAAAACATACACACACACACACAAAAGACTTGAAACTAGGAGAGGTGCTTGTGGAAAGAAGAAATGATTCAATGGGAGTAAAGAGGGAAATAAGAACTTAATGGAAGATGTGAATATGATAAAAATACTTTATGTACATGTATGAAATTACCAAAGAATATACCAAAAAAATTTTCACAAAAATGTAGTGTCAACAAAAGTAATATAACATTATCAAAAGCTGACAATGAATTTCATAAATGCAACAATTTAGTGTTATATTCAAGATGTTACGTCCAATGTCCCTCAGCTTCTCTGGTCAGTTACTTGGAGTTCTGCAAAGTGTCTTGGCACACAACTGGGGAAGCATGGCACTATACGAACTAGCATCTGAGAAATGCCAAATGTTCACCTCCAGTCACAAGGAGGCCTTTAAAGTTTTTGAGCACTGTGGACTAGGCAATAGTGGAAGTCCACATGGCTCTGTAGTCTAGCCAGTAATTAGGATCCTTGCAATGCTATTAGAGGTAGATATGAGGTGGCCAGAGCCTTGTGTTGTTCTTCCACAGAATGTCACTTCTATGGAGTGTGATACAACAATAACAAATATGGGTCAGAATTTCTACCATTTACTCACGTTATAGTAACAATAACAATATATTTTTTTCATAATTGGCTTTGAACCAGGCATTATACAATGTGTCTCTGCTAATGACCCAATTTAATTTTTGTAATAACTTTCTTAGAGTGGCCTTACCACTATCTTAGCATTATAAAAAGAGAAAAGAAAAGAATACCTGCATGACTAAATATTGATCTTAGGGTACTCTCATTCCACTGCAGGGAAAATAAAGGTGGAAGGAAAAAGATGGTTTCTACATTTTCAAATATGAGGTCTTCTAAACCGTGCAAAAACATTTAATCCAAGCACTCAGGAGGCAAACATATTTCTGAGTTTGAGGTCAGCCTGGCCTACAGAGTAAATTCCAGGAAGTCAAAGCTACAAAGAGAAAAAGCAGTATCCAAAAAAAAAAAAATTTTAAGGTCTTTTAGATGAACCATTTTTATTTTGTCCTTAATCATGTACAGTCTATCTTTAATAAAAAAAACAGTTCTTCTTTGAATAACACTGCTTTTCATCTGATTGTGTTTCTGCATATATATCCCTATGTATGTGGATGTGTTTGCACATGTATGTGTGTGTGTGTGGAAGTTGGAGGCCAGCATCAAGTGCCTCCTTCTGTCACTCACACCATATTTTTTGAAACAAAACTTTTACTGAACCTTAAGTTCACAGATTCAACTCAAATGGGTGGCCACCAAGCCCCAAGAGTCCTAATATGTCCACCTACCCAGTGTACTGCCATACCTGGCTTTACCCATGGGTACTGAGGGTAAAACTAAGGTCCTCATGTTTGTGTGGCAGATACTTCATCAACTAAACAGTCTCCAGCCACCACATCCTGCTTGTAAAGTATGTCTAGTCAGTGATTTTTAAAAAATAAATAAATAAATAAGAAAGAATGATGAAATCCTAACCTTTCAGGGTCTTAAGCTGGGGGTGTTTTAAGCTTCAGTAGCATGAGAGTATACCCTGCCTTTCTATTTTAAAAGCTATCTATACTTTATAGTTGCCTATGGTAGACTGATGGCATCTGCTTGCTGTCAGCACCGGCTGTCCTACGAAGTCTATGGCATTTGCCAATGAGAATTTCTCTCTCTCTCTCTCTCTCTCTCTCTCTCTCTCTCTCTCTCTCTCTCNCACACACACACACACTGGGTGGGGACCAGATGTACACTGCCATCCCTGAGTTTTACATTAGTGCTAAGCATTGGAAACCCGACCTTCATACCCGTGCAGGGATCACTTTCCAGGCTGCACTGGGACATTTTTCCAGCCCCGAAATCTTATTTTTAAAAGGAAAGAAAACAGACTAATAAAATACCACTAAAAGAAATTTATATTCAAGACAACATCTAATTTCTGGGTTTTTGAAAATCGGTGATGATATATAGTTATTCCTCTATTTTGAGGCAACATGGGCCATGTGACAACTAAGTGTGAACCTTAATTCAATCTGAGCAAAACTGAAATACATATGCTATTTAAAATTCAGGCTACAGACATTGTAGCAGGGAAATTCAGTACGTTTTAGTCAGAATAAAGTCACTTTTGATATTATATCATATATTCATATTCATGAGTAGTCAAATTAAATTAAGTATATATAACTGATTTCTATAAGTAATTTCAATTTGCTAGAGTTCCAAAACTTACTAAATTTCATTCTAAATGACCATGAATCAGGGGTTTTGGAAATAATGAGAAATTAATTTTATATTTCTTTTGTTTTCTATGATTTGTCTCATGGAATCTACTGTACTCTCAGGTCTGGTGCCTATAAGTGGAGAACCATACTTGTGCCATTTTCAGTGTGAGTTGCCGTGGGTTCAAAAAATTAAGCACTCTAATAGGTGAACTGAGGAAGATATAAATAAGGCCAACTATAAAGTATAATGGAACCATCCATCAAAAAGTCAGTAGCATCATGATGGAGCAAAATGATTACAGATCCTGTGTTTACCGCTTTGCTGTCATCCGTGCTACTAGACCTAGGGGGAATGTGCACCTGTTAACTGATTAATCTACCAGAACATGTCTAAGAATTGGGGCCCACTGATGTATGAGAGGTACATGTATGAAAAGTATAGTGCAGGTTTAGTGACTGCTTAAAATGTTCTGTGTCTTTACCTTGCTACTGTGTGGATCACACCACAGACTGACCAGCTGCCCCCTTCCCCCTCAGAGCACCTGACTCAGGTGTGTGGGGTATCCCTGTGATCAAGATCTTTGTCATAACCAGGTTCATTTATGTGCAGTTGTTGACAGGTCCAGCTCCATTCTGCCCTAGCAGTGTGGTCTTGTTTTACCCAGTCACAAACAGAAAACAAGAGTGGTCTCATTTTAAAGGAATGTTTGGGGTCGAATAACTTAAAACTTAAAAGAAAAATCTGCCCCATCTCCACCACACAGGTAACATGGTATTCAAATGTATCAAATAAATATGAAAGCCAAGATATTCCAAAACTAGGTTTTTTTAAAAGATAGAAGCTCCAGAAATGAACTTTGAAGCAGAACATAGAAAGAGTTAGGGGCACAAAGACATCTTGTCATTTCAGCGAAAAATACCAGCGTAGAAAGCTGTTTGCTGTTTTATAGATAAACGAATGGGTGACTGAGCAAATTCTTATTTTTCAGCCCGTCTTCTGGCATCATGTGGGTGCAGCCTTATCCCTTCTGATGATAATAATCAGTTCCCACACTGAGTAAAACAATATGACTTCCTCGACTGAGCAGAGGATTGAAAATCAAGAACTCTCTGCCCTAATCTCATTCTGCCAATGATTTGTTCTCTGACCTTAGGCAAAGAATTTCATTTCAGTTTCCTTATCTATAAAATGAGAATAATGATCTTATCTCTATACCCCCACAGGGCTAGTTCTGGTGTCATTGTTCACAAAGAATGACAGATATTTGCAATGTGCAATATATGGGTACTGTATTACAGTATCAGTAATATTAAATCGCCTTGTCAACATATGAGAGACACTTCTCGAGTCACGTTTTCTATCCTTTGCACAAGGATAGCTGCAAAACACAGTGGCTACCAAAACGATTTTGTGGAAAGAAAAATGCTATTAATTCAAGGAGAAAGAATCCTGCACTTAGAAACTGTTTATTTAATTTGACTACCGAAGGCTTGTCTATGAATTTTCAAAACTATGCCAAAGGCAATCTTGATTACTCTCCCTGTAAGATTGCCTCAGAACTTAGGCTAAATTAGCTCTACAATAATAAGTAAATAGCATATAACTGAGTTATTGTGGTGTATCTCCCATTAGACAGAAATCAAAATACACAGCCATTGCTCAGAGGACCTGAGTTTGGTTCCCAGAACCTATATTTGGTGACTCTCAGCTGCTTGTAACTCTAATTCCAGGAGATCTGACACCCACTTCAGGCCTCCAACAATACTCCACGTGCGTGTGCACACAAACACACACACACACACACACACACACACACATCAGTGTATGCCATTTACTCTTTGATGTTCTCATACCTGGTTTTAATGTTTTTACAGCCACTGGAGTGGTATTATTCCACAGGCCTTCCCAAACTTCTCCAAACTGGCCAGATCCCAGTCGCTTCAGAAGCTGTATGGAGTTGCGGTCTATCTCCCAATGGTCCACAGTTTTATACGACAAATCAAAAGGAGTCGGGACCTGTATCTGTTTCAGAGGATAATAAGAATACTTGTCAAAATAAAAGATATGGGACTGACTTAAAGGGTAAAGAGACTTCTCACGCAAGTGTGATGACATGAGCTTGACTTGAATGCCTGTAGAGGTCTAAGGAGAGAAATGGCTACACACAACTGTCTTCTGACCGCTGTAGGCACACTATCGTACTTAAGTGTGTGTGTGTGTGTGCGTGTGTGTGCGCACACACACACGCTCACACACACACACACACAAATGCACCAAATATAGAGAACATTTGGATTGAAAACTATAGCTTTGGTTTTGGAATTTTAAAGAAAAATACTGATTCTAAAAACAAAACAAGATAAATTAAAATCTGTACTGTTGAATCTTTAAACCAATCCTCTCTCCTATCCTACAGCCCTATGTCTATCCACCTCATCAGCAACCAGTTTCCTCCTCACAGGTGTCTGCACTAACTTCCCTCTGCCTCCTGCCTCACTGGAGCCTCTCAGTAGGAAGCTGAGCTAGAAATGCCGCCGCCCTCACGTGACTTTCCTGCACACTTGGCTGCAGTACTCATTATATACCTCAAATCTTTTTGCAAAATGGAATCATCACTTTTCAAATCCATTTTTATCATTTCCTTTTTCCCATTCACTCATTTACTTTAGTTAATAAGTAATTTTTGGGCTCAGACTAGGCACCATTCAGGAAATAAAACTGGCAAGGCCTTGGAACACTGATGGTTTCTGGGTAGTCACAGGAACACTGTGAATAGTAAAACTCACTGTCAGGCTTACAGAATGCATTATACATGTCTCTATTACAACTAGCAAAGGCTATCTAACAAAAGGGCATGAAACAAGTAAAGATAGTAAATGAATTGGCATGTCTTCCTGTAAAGTAAACAAACAAATTTCCTTTAAAAAATGAGGATGGATTAATAAAAAAAAAATTGAGGATGACTCACGGACCATAATTTCCTTGTTCCTGCTCTAAAGGAATCAAATGACTATTTTTTATGAACTGACAGCAAAGGACAAATGCTTGAATGTCTGAGAGGAAGATGCTAACTTTAAAGCTACATAATGAGCTTAGCTAAAATAATTTTACCTTTAAGCATGGTTTTTCCAGCTTGACACACAGGCCATCGCTTGTTGTGGTGTAGTAGTTCACAAATTCATTCAAGGTTGAAAAGATTTTCCTTCTGGTAAGGAAATAGCCACCTTCATCCAGCCTTCTGATTCTGTAGTGTTTTACAACATTTTCATCTAAAACTGGAACACAAAGCAAACTCTGTCAACAAAGGTATCGCCCTGCCCAAACCATTTTGCAGCCATTTACCAATGTATGGAAAGAAATTTCCACAAAACAGTATCTTTCAACTTCATCACAGAAAATATGAAATTTACAAATGACACACACCCAAAATTTGTGGTAGGGACATAGGAGCACTCAGAGATCAGACTGAAGGAGAAAGAGGGCAAAAACTAAAGAGTGAGATTAACCCTAAACCATTCCAATCTTGGAAGGCTGGCACACATCCCTGAGGGAAGCCATAAAATTAGGTCTGTCATTCTAGCCACAGAAGGAAGAAAATTCCAATCTAGCTCAGAAATCATAACATCCAGAAGATGTGTTTTCTATACAAGGTGTGTAGAAAAGCTCAACTCATCCTGGTCTTTTGTCCCCAGGAAATCTCATAATGGGAAGGCCGAAATAGAGTAGAATGAGTCTTTGGTATAATGTCTTACAATGTGATAAGGAACTCCACAGTGCTACTTGGTGTATAGCCATGCTTCACTGCGGACTGATAGCAGAAAGTCCCAGAACAATGCACAAGAGCGGTTCCACCAAGCCTAAAATGTGAATTATGTGTGCAACTCTCCAGCAGTCTTGTTTTATCAATGGGCCAATCCTACCATCTGCAACAATGAACTGCATTGCTTTCTGATAATCTGAGTTGCAAGGAAAGCATTGTTCTCTTGTTGACCACTACCCACTGTCTCTTGCTAACAGCACTCCTGTGTTCCCCAGGAAGTCCCTGCTCCTGGGGATCATGAGATGCAGAAAGAACCCAAGCCCATCCTGAGCTTGGGAATGCCAAGTCAGAGAGAGCTATCAAGAAGTTTCAATTCTGGAGCATATAAAGGAGCCCAGTGGTGTGGGAGGTCCTTCTGTCTGTGTGTTGCTTTTATTAGTTAATGAATAAAGAAACTGACTTGGCCTTTTGTTAGGGCAGAATTTAGGTAGGTGGGGAAGACTGAACTGAATGCTGGGAGGAAGAAGGCAGAGTCAGAGCCACTATGGAGCTGCTGCCAGAGTAAGACATGCTGAATCTTTGCTGGTAAGCCTCTGCCACAGATTAATACAGATTAATAGAAATGGATTAAATTAATATAAGAGTTAACCAATAAGAAGCTAGAGCTAATGGGTCAAGAAGTGTTTTAATGAATATGGTTTCAGTGTGATTATTTTGGTTCTGGGCAGCCAGGACAAACAAGTGACCATCCTCCTACAGCCCAGAAAGGCAAGAGGGGTTTTGCGGTTACCATTTTTCTGGAATTGTTTATGTTTTATTTTTGCTATAGAGGTTTTGAACTATTGATATAATTTGTATGTCCATCAGGAAGGAAGCTGACCTGAAAGGAGACACCACCCAGTGGAAAGCAGTGTTGACTGAGCAAGTCAATCTTTGTCCTTGCAGTCAGCCACGCATGGCTTTTCAACCACAAAGTTAGGTCACTTCGGACTGAAATTAATTTGAGTCAGGTTTTCTGCAATTGTGTTCAAAACATTGACAGATACAATTGCTTCTTCCTTGCACTTAAGAAGGGTGTTGACAACCATTGAGGAGAGAAACACATAGCTTTCCTGAGTTTCTTCTAAGTACAGAAGCTAGGCTTTGAATAAATAATCAAGTAGGAGCAAAGTTCTCATGATAGGACAGAAGGCATGGAGGCATGCAGTGCCTAGAAGATTTGTTCAGAAAACAATTGGCTCACACAAGATCACCTTTCAGTTCAAATGTTTAAATTCAAACATAACAAATGTTGTCAAGGAGGTGATATATCTTCTCAGACACACTGATGAAAGTAGAATTTTTACAGCCATTTTGGAAACTGCTACTATCTAAGAAAAGCAACCATAGTTATAATTAACTTCTAAGCATCATATCAATAAAAATGTGAATGTTTGGAACTAAAAAACATCATTTTGAGTATCACCTAGACCCAGAAAGACAATAACACATATACTCACTCATAAGTGGTTTTTAAACATAAAGCAAAAAAAAAAAGCCCACAAATCACATTTCCAGAGAACATAGACAACAATGAGGACTCTAATAGAGACATACATAGATCTAATCTATATGGGAAGTAGAAAAAGACAAGATCTCCTGAGTAAATTGGGATCATGGGGACCTTGGAAGAGGGCTGAGGGGGAAGGGAGAGGCAAAGAAGGGAGCAGAGAAAAATGTAGAGCTCAATAAAAAATAAAAAAAAATGTGGATGTTCTCACCCAAGCATGTGTATAAAAATTTTCTTGGTGCATCAAGAAGCAGCATTTGCTGCTTCTGCAGGACCAGTATTCAGTTCCCAGCAGCCCAAGTGGGCAGCTCACAACTGCTTCTAACAGCAGCTCCAGGGGTCCAATGCCTTCACCTACACCCGTGTGCATACACACACACATACACATAACTAAAAGTAACAAAAATAAATATTTTTAAAAGAGCCTATATCTCAAAATAATCCAAACAGCCTTCAACCAATAATAGAAATAACTAAAAAAAAATGCTCATTTTCCCAATGGAATACATACAAATTTATAATTAAAGAAATAAGAACTATATATTCAATATAAGCAAATATCACAAACATAAAAAGTATGGTTCCATCCTGAAAAAGTCTAAAAACATGGAAAATCCCTGAAGGAGAAGTCAGAGTGGAAAATGTAGGACAGCAAATTCCATCCTATGACGTGGTGTTGGTAACATAGATTTATTCTCTCTGACAAACTGATTTATTATTAATTATGTAATTTTATTATGTGTATCACACATTAATTTAAATGAAGTTAAGAAATGGTTATCTGTGCCTGTTCACATTCAAATACTCCAAACTACTGTGTTCTGGGCATGCTAAAATATCAAAGTCTGGAAATTTCACATAACAATGACCTAACTTTAACCTTAGATATAAAATTTCTCAGCAAAGTGCTTAGAGAACATTAATGTTATACAAATTAACTTTGTGGTAAACAATGAGGGAAGCTGGTTACAAAACATCCTCCTTGGTCACTGAAGGAGCCGTATGGAGTGTAGGGTCTTCGTTATCAGCCAAAATTAGCAGAGGGACAATGACATAAAATGAAACTATATGAACACAATACTAGAGCTGAAGCTAACCCCTCCTGTACTACCATTACCGGCAGTGATGTCACCAACACAGTGGACCAGCTCAACTGACAGAGATGTCACCAACATGCAGGTCAGCACAACTGACAGAGATGTCACCAATACAGCAGACCAGAGCAAATGACAGAGATGTCACTAGTACAGCAGGTCAGCACAACTGACAGAGATGTCACCAATGCAACAGGTCAGCACAACTGACAGTGATGTCACCAACACAGCAGGTCATCACAACAGACAGTGATGTCACCAACACAACAGGTCAGCGCAACTGATGCTTGTTCATATGTCTTCCATTTTTTTCTTAACACACTTAAATTTGCATTCAGCAAGAACTGCATGGCTGAGTCCCTATGTAAAACCCTGGAGAGTCTCTCTGCTCACTTTTATTTGTCATAAAGTTCTACTTTCTACTTAAACACAGTTTTCATTCCTTGATGTCCATCTGTCTCCCCTCCCACCTCACAGGTCTGCTTCAGGCTGAAAGGCAAGTGGAGTGGGAGTGGCTGCATTTCTCTTATTCTAGTTGGAGCGTCTTTCTCCTCCACCTTCTCTGGGAGCTCAAATGGTCAGGTTGCAGGGGGTGGAGAAGGAGAGAGTAAAGGAGGACCCTGGGTACCGCATCAAGGATGATGGGCTTCACAGTTGACCCAGTGGCTCATTCCTTGAACCATTCTCCTATGTCCTCTGAATGTCACTCCCCTTCATGCTATCTCACTGCAGCAGAAGGGCAGGCATTCCTTAGGCATCCCAGAGTCCATAGGCTCTCAGTTTCTATCTTTGATCATCTCCTGAATGTGACCATTCATCTCTCAGGAAAATCCTATTTAGATGGAATTCCAAATTTCCTCCAGACCTATGGGCCCTGGAACCTTTATTCATGGAAGAGGATCATTTGTGTTTCTAAGGGAGTATTCTCAATGAATGAGGTGGTGCTTGTCTTAACAACTAACTGTTGGGGGGGGCAGTAATGACACAAGGCACTTCTAACCATGGGAACAGCCTGCGTTCACTTCTCAGCCTGTATTGGGAACCTGTGTTAGGAACTGCCAACTGTGCAGAACATGGAGAAGTTTCAGAGTAGCCTTTCGGAAGATCTGCCAATTGGTTTGGGATCTCCGTGTTCTCTGGAAAGAAAGGAAGAATGTATAAGGTACCCCTAGCTATCCCCACAGCTAACGTGCCCTCATCAAATCTCTGGGTACCATTTTTCAAGCCAAAGGGCCCAAGAGCAGCAGTACCCATCTTTGTCTTAGTCAATCCCTTTGTGAGGTCTGACTGGGAGTCTGACTTTTAAATTTTACTTCTAAATTATCTGACAGCTTGTCAAAAATTCCATTATAAGAACATTCACTGAGTCACTCACTAGGGTAAGTTCTATTTTACATCATGGGGTGTCTCCCTCACAGGCCTATCAGGTAGATTTCACTGTAAGCCATGAATAAAAGCACAGCTAAAATTCAGATTTGGGACCTTGACCCAAAGATCCAATATATTTGAATAGTAGGAGGTTTCTCAACCTTCCAACGGCAGTGATATTTTAATACAGTTCTTCGTGTTGTGATCCCCAACCATATAATTATTTCATTGCTACTTTATAACTTTAATTATCCTACTGCTATGAATTATAATGCAAATATCTGATATACACGGTATTTGCTATGTGACTCCCCGTAGAGGTCATGACCTACACATCGAGAACCACTGCTCCCATGCAGTACTCACCAGGCCTGTCCCTGCTTAGATTCCAAGATCAGACAAGATCAGGTACATTCAGGGTAGTATGGCCATAGACATTTCTCAGAAAACTAGGAAACAACCTACCTCAAGACCAGCAATACCACTTTTCGTTATGTACCCAAA